ATTATTTCTGTTACTGCATGTGTTTGGTGTTGATTCGATAAACAAAGATTCGGTTATCAATCTCTTCTTCCCTCCGCCCAACTGAGTTAGTATTCAACACTTGCCCTATCCCACCCTACTGTGTGATTGTGTGTCATCGCACGCAGAGCTATAGCAGAGCTTTTCTCTAGATTTCTTATCTTATTAGGATCTACTGTCCCAGATATATGGAAAATTCTGCTACCCTTGTCATCACACAGAAGGGGATAAAATTAGGAATATATAAAGTCTGTCTCGAAGTTGTGGAGTTACCTGATATGAATACGAACAATAAATTGTGTCCGAAGCGTTATCCAGTAACTGCTACTGTTTCTCTGTGATATTTCTAATAAACAAACTAAAATGGAATAACTTGGAAACGATGGCACACATTAACGTGGCTGCAGGCAAGGCATTCTGCATGCTGTGTTCACCCCTTGGGGGATTTCAGAGCTTTGATGGGGAAATATTCCGGATATTTTATCCTGCTTATCCGATACCTCATCTAGAAAACTGTACATAGGCAGCTCTCCATTGCTTCCGACAAAGTGAGTCTCTGGGTCATTGGTTTAGGGAGATGACTTTCAACCAATGTGTCACGCGTTCGGGCCCGCTCCACCTACCGAGGTCTAAACAGACAGGTAGTATCATTAGCCCTCGCTCAATCGTTATCAAGTTCAACATAGGACTAGGCATTACTGCATGATGGTTCAAGTTGCCACACTTCATATCACCACGTCAGGCAAAAAGGCAATGAAATGGTCGATGAAGAAAGGAAGAAAAATCAGTCAAAAAGGTGGAAAGTAGTAAAAGAGAAAGAGGAATGAGAAAATGATGAGATTAAGTATAATGGATAAGATGAGGATAATGTATACATATATCTGCACCACTGATATCGGCTCTAAGCCATATCACCTATAGTCTCCAACTACTGGTTTCTCTTGTACCGCGGACATTAACCGACTAGTCTGCATCGACCAGTCAAAAACTTCATGCAGTGGTGTGATGTTTTAGTCTAGCCGCCCTAATCCTTTTTCCACCCTGAAACTACTTCGGAAAATATTGTGCGACGAGGCAGATGGTGGCTAGGCACACAAGTTTCAGACATCTCGGTCGATGAAGGTTCACAACCGCATCAACTGTCTTACCTCTCCTACCTCAAATTCTCCATTTACCTCCCGCGTTACTCATGTGGTGACACCACAAAACAAGGCCTATGCTACAAAGGTAACGGTATTCAAACAACGGAACCCCCCCCCCCCCTCATGTCCTCTGCTTCTGATGACCCACGTTTCACAGCCATGCAGTAGAACATAGCGAAATGCAACACAGTGCATACGACTGTAAATAGACAATCGTGCATCGAGGCGGCGCCACAGATGGGTGGGTTGGCAAAAGCCGTTGGTGACTTTTCTATTCGTGCAGAGATTTTGTCGGCTACTGACTCACCAAGGCTGATCCTACTTCCTAGGTAAATGAAGTGTTCAACACACCTGACCATTTCACTCTATCGTTAGCCGGGGTACTCTGAAGACCAGTCCTGGAGCGAAAATTTGCATTTCAGTGGCGAGAAATACATTCCGAACATTCTCAACTTGCCATTCAAGGTGTCCACAAGAGTCCGCATCTTGTCAGCGTCTTCACCCAACAGGATTGTCATATGCGTTTTTCAGGTCTACCAAGAACTTTCCTGTGATAAGGTCAATCACTGTGTAATCAGATATCGAGGAGACCTCTGTAAGGTGTATGATGAAATTTAATAATAATAGAGGGAGTGGGCATGCTTGACTGACCACCTGACGTACCAGCTCATCCGACATCTCACAATAGGCCATAACACGTCCACGGGTGTTCTAGTATAGAGCCTTCAATAAAGTGAACACCAACTTAACAGTGATAATAAAATCGTTAGCTACTGTCTACGTCTATGCAGTCTTGTGGCTAAAGGAGGTAGGCGGGATACCGAAAATCGCCGTTTGCGATCCGCGTTTTTCGTGTCACGTCGTTTTCATGACAACGACGAGTGATTATCTTTGGCGACATACTCTTAGATAAGTGGGGTTCACAAAGAAGAGAAAACTACAAACAATTCAAAGATCTCATCACTTCCTGCATGGCCAATGCCTTCTCACGCAGTTTCGCAGTGACTGTAATCGGACTTCTACTACACCCTATGCAGCCTGGTTAAGAAGTACTCAGTACTAAAATGACAAGACAAGTTTGTTTACCTGGAACGTGATTTTTATAGTCTGTAAGGCCTCAAGCCTGCATGAAGTGGTACATTAATTTATGTTATTCCTTTATAGAATAGAACACATTCAATTAAAAAGGATGTTGTGTTGCGACATGATCAGAACCTTCTGCATCGTGTAATACATGGAACAAGAATCACACAAAAAGTAGCACACTTCTCCCCACCCAACGGCCCTCCGGTGCTGGAGGTATGATTTTCCCTCATCCGGCGTTAGATCAACCAAGTATGAAAATGACAAACTGCAAAAGGTCGTGTGCGACAGGCTTCAAGCAGATATCCAATAGTCTGCGGTCACACAAGTATGTTCATCTATCAGGCACCTTAAGAAGAAACAGCCTTCGATCATGTGTTCAGATGGGAAGTTTCGACCTCCCTCACGCCTCCAGTAGTACACAAGACCCAGTCAAACATAGCCCGTCTTCCTCAACTCTGTCTCCTCCTTCGCCTTCACCTCCTGATGCTAATAATACGCCTCTTACACCCTCCTCGGCCTCTCATTCTGCAACCATTGGCAACGACCAAAGCTATCGAAACCCCATTTCTAGTCTTTTAAGACCCTGTCATCGAAATCCTGTTGCTGCTTTCAACGTCCGAACCCTGTGCCGAATCGGACAGCAAGCGTCGCCTGCCAGAACTCTTGAATCTCGAACCATGGGTGTATACTGCAATTCAGGGACAATCATACAAGACCCGAGTGTGGTTACTGGATTGACCCCATCTGACCGTTCAGACTAATCTTCAGAATTCCCCTATAGACTATCTGGAGACCCTATGTATAGTTGTCGTGCACTCACTGTCGTCGGCATAGCATTGAGCTGTAGGCGAGAAAGGGCGCTGGTCGACTCGGTACCAGTCAACACTCGTCTATGTGATGTTCGACTAAATGAATCTATAAGAACTAGGAAGGATCGTGGGATCAAACGATAACTGTTCGTGATGAAAGCAGTTTCTTGAGAAATATGAAGCTGAAATTTTGACTTCTACTTCTAAACCTATCGATGTAAAGGGTCACTAGAATTATTGCTTTTCTTGGCGATCGGATTTCGGCATAGTTCTTTGTCGCTTACTTATGGTCTAGTTAAACAGTACTTTATGACCAGAGTATTTTAGTTGAGCACTGGTTTTCGCGTTGAGTCAACTCTTGGAACTGACTCCATATTATCAGTTGACTCATCCGTGATCGGACTTGACAGGTTGAGAAATCTATTTGAAAAGGACTAGCGTAGGCTCATAACTACACTGTTGGAGCTAAAATCAAAGCGTGAGTCTTCTTGTGAGGAAGTCTTATGCCTGTCCGCATACTTAGAAACCCTAGTTAGTACAATTTTGTTGTTTTGTAGCTGTTTGGATCGATGGGTATGACTGTGCTCGTATCAATGTTGATATCTGGTGACCACTGGGCAAACGAGAAATCTTGGCAATACGACCTTGAGAGATCATTAGCATCAACGCCGATCTGGAATCGCTAATGTTTGTATCAAATCCAATAGGGCTTTTTCTCAAAGCAGTGCCATTCCACCAGAACAAGGTAGAAGTTTCTTACTTGGTGGGTTTCTATGACATTTGACTGGTGGATACTCAAAGCTCCATCACTGACTGTATCTGAAAATGCCTATAGGTGTCATGCAGATGCAGCACGGCTCCCAACAACTTATCCAGGTGTTAACCGAGTGAATTGCAAAATGGTTATCTTTAAAAAAGAATACCTCTTTGGGTCTGGATAGGATTCATGCTACTGTCCTTCAGGATGTCTCATTCTCCACTGAATCCATCAGCAGATTATCCAGGCATTTCCTTAACCAGGGCATAGCACTCGATAAAGACAAAACAAAGCCAATGTAGAACGTGCATGCAAGTGCATCGCTTCAAGTTGCCACATTTCACAACAGTATACGAAGAACAAGTGGATAGAAATACTAATGGTAAAGGTTTAATAGGAGAAGAGGGGACTTGAAAATTGGAGTGATTCAAAACATCTAAGCTTTGGAAGACACCAACGAGTGAATACATCTGCGCCTTTGTGATCAGTTGTTTTTATATTGTTTCTGCCACTAATATCGCTCGTATACAAATGTTAGTATTTCTTCTGTTATTGTCGAATGGGAATGTATGGACTCCCTTATTGGAGTAGGTGATCGTTACTTACGTTTTTACCCTGATGTACTTATTGATCATCTGTGTCCTATATTTGTTAACACCTATCGTTTGCAGGTGACTGGACTTATGAACAAATGTTGGGCATTTGTAAAGGTCTACACTATAGTCTGTGGATGCAGACAAACTCCTGTTGAAGGTACTTGCATTTAATTTATTTCGTTTCGTTTAAAGGAACAAACTGTCACACGTATATGCAATATATTATTACGCATTCAAGACAATACAACCATATTATATTATTCCTATGCCATGTTTGAAACAATAGCAAGGGAATGGGATAAACTGGATTACTGGAGGGTGGACAAATTTTTGCTGGTATGTTGAGAAGCGATTCATTTACTACTGGCCAGCTTGCACGAGAATTTTTCACCAAAGGTCTTCAGTATATATCATATAAAAAACCTGATGTCTTGGAGCCTTTTATAGAAGCTATATTCACCAAGGTGCTGAACAAGGATACAGATCATGCCGTCGGTCTGAAAATGCATTTCTGTACCTTAATAAGCGAAGAACTACCGAAAAAGGTATGCGCATTTAAACTGTTTTTATTCAGGAAAAACAGAAAGTTAAGATGTCATCTGTACAGTCTATATTTAAGCAGCTCCTCTTGCTTTTGCCTTTACTCCCTAGGTAAGATTACAGTCAAACATTAGTATCCATCTTTTAGACATAACACATATGCTCACAGTATTTTGTCTCTTGCCACACAGATCACCAAACTTGTTAAAAGACGTCCCCAAGTAAGTTTTCTTTGGCATTCTTCACAATTAAGTTACTTAGTGCTGCCTCGATGGCGTTTTGGAATGTCTTGATAATATTTCAATCAATGAGTGTCCCTACAGAAACGCCCTGAAACGAATCAACGCAAAGTAATTACTAGACCTTATAAGTCTATAACTTCCATCTATAGTTTGAAGAAGCTAATATCATTCAGAGAAGCTAAATCCAAAGCGAATGATGAGGAAACTCCTACCAGTTCGTTAAGCAAATACATGAAGTAAGCGGACACTAATTAACCTTTACTGTCTGCAGACATCAAGTACCGTTCCCATAGATAGTCAGAATCTGAATTCGAAAGGCAATTTACGGAAACTTAAAGTTAGTATGCACAAAATGTTTAACTATCTAATTTCAGTCTAAGAAGATGACAAAAAAAGCGGTTTCAAAGAAGAAAAAAGTTGTCAGAAAACGTGTATTTCCTGAGGCCACTGATGTAAATTACATATATTCTAATTATTTGCAGCAGTGTGACGCGGATTCCACTCGTCAGGCCGAAGATGTTGTCCATGAATCTTGTCCGAAGAGAATGAAGTTGCAAACTAACACGGAGGTATTTTGCTGACATCAATAACTTCGTTGTTTAGTCTGAGAATACAATAAATTCAGACATACCATCTCATCCTAACGAAACATCCACAGTTTTGACTGACGAATCCAAACCAAATATAGATTGTTTCACATCACCTAACGTTCTGGTTGATTTGAGTGAACAGGAGAAACACGTTGCATACACTCCGCTTTCTTCAGAAAGGCGAGTATCGTTTGGAAAGGTATTTCGTAAGAGTATGTCCCGTATACACTTTTCGACCAAATGATTTTTAGAATTTAGTGCAACTCGTTGTATCTCCTTGACTCCGCCAGTCAGTGTTATTCCAGCTAAAGGAATCTTAAGGGGTAACAGTAAGTTGCACATTTTCTCCTCATCTTTTCTGCAGAGTCATTTCCTGAAGAGGCCAGAGTCAATGTTTCATTTTGACTGATGTGAAATGTCTGTACATAATGACTAATATAAGATGTATGTATTTGCTAATTGTTTTGATATGCCTTTTTGGGATCACACGTCATTGAAAATGTTCGTCCCAGCCTATTGTGAACGTTTTTTAGTGTGCAAGTAGAAAACTGTCACTTTTAGGAGACAAACACGAAATGAGTTTGTTAGTGAAAGATGAAGCTGAATATATATTCTACTTGACATTTTACTATAGCTGTGGTCCACCACTTGTTTAGGCATTTCACTTGGAAATAGGGGTTACGGGTTTAAGCAGCCGGGTGGTATACTAGTCTTCTGAAAATAGATGTCTGGTAAATGAACATGCATGTAGCTGTTGACTTTCATTCCTTCTTTATCTTTTATCTGACCCTAAACTAGACAATGAATCTGATTTTGAAGAAAATATGTCGAACTTCACGGTTTTATAATACGTTTTGTTACTCTGGAATAGCATGAAACCTAAATACAGTAGATAATGGGTTCATGTGGTTGCGACTTCAGTCATCAAATTAAAAATGATCATAAACCCGACCATACAATAAAGGCAAACCGATCGATATCTGCCACTTTGACGTGATGGTCAGGCTTCCATACCACAATCAGCTATGCTGGTGGAGAACCTCCGTCAAGGTCCTGCCATGCAAGAATACTGTTGGATGGTGATAAGACAAGCAGCAGTAACCGTTGTAAATTGCTACGCTTCGACGGAGAAATTCGGTGAAAATGATGCTGACTGGATGAGGAGAGGATAGCAGGTAGGTGAATTCAAATTGCTATCAGTTGTCGTTGGAGTATCGCTGGGAAATTACCAGCCCTTCCAGTGCAAGTGTTCGGATAGCCGTCGGTTCGGCCGCACGTATGTCTGCGCCTGAAGGGATGTAGAAAAGTCAGAGTTACAAGACAGAACCAAGCGCTGCTTGACGATGAGAATAATCAGGTTAGTTTCAAAGGGAACTGGCCAAACACTTATTCAAACAGAACACCACGCATCCTGAAGAAGTCTGGCACCAGATGTCTGCTGTATGTGAGACGTTACAAATTGTAGCTAACTCAAAAGTCTGGAAAGACCACTGGGTCTCAGCAGTTTCTTCAAAACTAGTAGGGCTTGTCAACGCATTCGTTCGATCTCCAAGCTGAGAAAGAAAGGAAAACAACTCAAATGTGAACTAACAAAGTCTACACTATGACTATGAGTGATGGTGGGCCTGGATAGAAATGAAGCGAAGCGCTAGGAAATTGCCTGTCGCATTGAGAACAAGTACTTACTGTTTTATAACTTATCAAGAAAACAAGTGACGAAGTTCAGGTTGTAAGTGATCTCAAGCAAAACATTTCAACAGGCCTAAATTACTGATCGTCCCAGTTTACAAGAAACGGAGCAGTCTTCCGGGTATAACCACAAGGGAATCTGTCTGACGCAATGGTCTAGGATTCTAGTTTCTATTATTATCAGACGTCGAAGTGAACCTGGAGAACAGCGAACCCGAGGGAACCAGACAGGCTTCAAACCTGACCATGGGTGGATCTACCAGATATTCACATCGCCAGGTTCTCGAACATATACACTTGCCGGCGCCCGATACCAGCCGTATTTCTTGACCGGAAGGCAACATTTGACTTCGTCGATAGATGTCTTACGGCACTGTCCGTCACTGAAGGGAGTGCCGAGTGTGTACATCATTCTGTTGAAGGCTCTGTACTCGGGCACCCATTGGTGTGCTAGAGCCCATAGTGAGTTGTTTACGTCGAGTGGTACCTATTTTTATCTAACTCTATTATAGAAGTACTCAAAGAGGTCTTCTCGTCGTGTGATTTCACGGAGATTAATCTTATCACAGGAGGATTCTTGTTAGATCTCAAGCACGCAGATGACGTAGTGTTGTTAGGTGCAGACGCATTCTTATGGATACCTTGAGTGGCAATTTGGGATGCGTTTCTCACTACTCAAGGGCAAATTGTTGTTCCAGAAATGGGCATAGGTCGTACCTCGAGTAGCTTTAGGGATAAAGGCATTGCTCCTCGTCTTGGATACTCAATCACTGGTTCCAAACGCAACACTTCTCGTATTTAATTCAGGTGAATAGTACCCTTAACTGTGGTTGAGCGGATATGGTTCATAGTCTAGTACGCAGGCATGAGGTCGGGAGTTTCTTTACTACTCCTACCGTGTTATAAACAAGCAGAATTACTTAGAAATTAGCATAAAGGTGTGGTAGCTTAAGCTTTAACATCTACTAACGAAATCGATGGGGAGCCGGAAACCTAAATGGTTTGTAAATATACGATTACACGGAAAGGTAGTAAGGAATTTAATCGCCTAGAGTGAGTACATTAGTACTGTCTATTCTGTTGTTCATCACCCATGAGCAGGGTTACAAAGACACCTGTAAGCCTTGCGTGTCATCCAATTTCAACAAACAACTTTAGAATATGACGGGACTACTTTTCAGTACCCTCACTCTTTGATATGCAGGTCCGTATTTCTCTCAATCATGGATGAGTAGGCTAGTACGTGATAGAGATTTAGTTAGAAATCAGGCTTATTCAGGCTTGTACGACTTCATAAAGAGCGTGGATGTAGTTAACCACTTGCACTCGAGCTTCAGAGCATCTTCACCCGTTTGAGAAATACGAACTCAAGCGGGAATAACCAGATATGTCTGCAAAATTGTCTTTTGCATACTCATCTTCAGGGGCATTCAGTATATGAAACCCTGAAAAGAAGATGGCAGCTGTATTTTTCACCAGTACATCTATAACAACAAAACGCATTCAGCCACTTCATGCAGTAGGGAGTGAGCCACGCCTATTGTGTGAGGGATAGTGATACTACCTAGCTGCCCAAACCTCAGTAGGTGGAGCAGGGCTCGAACCCGTGACCAAGTGGTTGGCAGTCATTTGCCCAAACCACAGCTCTGCAAGCGATAGTGTATACACTTTTGTTACTGATTACTGGTTTAAGGACTTAACTTTCAACCAGTGGGTCATGCATCCGAAGCATGTTTCACCCATCAAAGTTTTGGGAAGCAGGTATTACCAGTAGTCCCCACATAATAGACTTGGCTCATTACTAATGCACGGTGATACAAGATCGTTGACTTCGACATACCTGCCAAGCACACCACTGTTGTTTCTTCGTATAAAGCAACTCTCCACAACCAGGCACCGCTACAAAGTGTCGGTCGAGGGAGTCAAACACTGGATGCTACAAGATCTTATTAGAAAAGGAAGCGAGTAGCAAGGTTATTCATAGCTCCTTGTCACCTCTACTTAGTCAAAGCAAAACAATCCGGATCTAAGCAAACGAGAGTCTTTTGTGGTTAACAGGGATTTTCTGTTTTCAATTTTTGTATTGCTGATTGTATTCCGAGGTTTTATGCACGTATGTCTAGCCACCGATTGCCTCGTCACACAATGTTGACTAAGGTGGGTCCAGGCTGGAAAAAGGCTCGAGGTGGCCAGACTAAAAACATGGCATCAATGTATGAAGTCTCTGACTGTTGGTTCAAGCCATGTAGGACGATGCAGACTAGGTGGTTGGGGTCCGCGGGACAAGAGGAACCAGTGGTTGGAGACCCTAGGTGATATGGCTCAGAACCAATGTCAGTGGGCAGATGTATACACACATTATCCTCATCTTAACAACGCTATACCAAATCTCACCATTTTGTTATTCCTCTTTCCTTTCTCGTACTTTATATTTTTTAAGACTGCATTCACTTATCTTCATCCTTCACCTCACTGCCTTTCTACTTGATGAACTGATGTGAGGTGTGGCAACTCAGACCGTTACGCAGTAATGCCTGGTCCTATGTTGATAATGATGATGCACGTCACAGGCAGGTACGTTTAATGACTGATATTCATTTGTCGTATCTACCTGCTATTCATATTTTAGTACGAAACTATTCCTGAGCTTTAGTGATCAAGGTAGTTGTTGTTTAGATAACAACCGACGTCAATAAAACTGATTCAACCTAACACTACAGTAGGTGTATATCAAAACACAATTCATAAAAACGAGAAGTTTTAGATCAGCCTTGGCTGCACTCATAAGACACGACGTAAAAGTATGTGTTGCGATCGTATGTGGCTTCGAAAGTTGCTACGGCCATTACCATGGGAGATCGTTACAAACCTTTTAACAGTTGACAGTGAACAAAGTAACCTTTCATACGGGGAATCTGGTAAAACAACTGAATATAGCGGAACCAAACGCTAATAATAAGCCTAAAATAGGATGACATCAATCTACTTTTGTTTGTATTTCACGAATTAAAAACAACCGGTGAACATTGTATACTACAGTATTCTACCTAATAAATGAATTTTGAAAAAAAAAGTTATGAGATGAATAAATTATCAACTTGAATATATCACAGTTATTAAATCAGTACAAACAATGTATGGATACCCGTTTTGACTATATGATGGTCAACTTTCAAACACAAAACCCTTCTGAATGAGATCTATTTTCGCTTCATTAACAAGTTTTATAAGCTCTGTTGCCGCTTCTGGACAATCGTTGAAATTATAGGTACGATATAAAACAACTAACACAGAAACGACTCCAAAAATTATTAAAATATGAAGAGGTAACCAGTTAAGGAAGATATTGGCTATATTGGACTGAACATTAATTATCCCCATTAACTTTGACATCCATATTGTTAGGACCAAAGAGACTATCAAAAACCACTCCACGATTTTCTTCATGACAGATGAACGAAAGAGTTAAGCGCTTGAACACGATGGCACGAAACTAAATGAGATGTGTGCACTCCTCAAGATGCGATAGACCTGAAATTTGAAAAAAGAAAGTATTTAAATTTACAGAACTGACAAACATTGGTCTTCAGAATTGACTAATTTTTTACTGCGAGGGGTTAAGTAGTTGAGTACACTCACCACTCCAACCACTTACCAATTCTGATGACTAATAAAGCTTCTAGGCATTCTTTAACGGATCGCTTAACTTTTGTTAG